GTGTGATGCTTTATTCAACCTCTGATTCTGTATATTTCCAAGTAGAAATTGATCCATCACCTGTAGCTGTTGTTTTGGCCTGTGATCTGTATCATGCTGCCTCATGAGAAACAGTCGGAATACCTAACATTGTGTAGGTCAGTATATTCAGAGACACCGGTCCGGGCATCACATACCTGTGTTTTTTTTTTCTACCTGTTATTCTTGGTAGGATCTTTGATAAGTTTTCCTTGTTTGATCATAAGAACCACTGCTTTGTGTGTGATGCTTTATTCAACATCTGATTCTGTATATTTCCAAGTAGAAACTGATCCATCACCTGTAGCTGTTGTTTTGGCCTGTGATCTGAGTTATGCTGCCTCATGAGAAACAGTCGGAATACCTAACATTGTGTAGGTCAGTATATTCAGAAATACCGGGCCGGGCATCACATACCTGAGATTGGATGGTCGAATTCACCCGTGCTTGATCGGACTATGGACTTAGATAGACAAAACGATTAAATCCGCATGTTTGATCTCTTCTGAGTCAAGATGTTTATGTTCTAACTTTTAAACGGCACATGATGTTAACTGTCTCCAGCTTTTTTTCTCTGAACCTCTAAATTCGATGGTGATTTTAACAGGGTGTCCGAGTAGCCGATCGGTACGGTATCGGATTATGAAGTGGAGCCTTGTTTTATTTTCTTCCCCACTTTGTAATTGGTAGGGTAGGAAAACTGTTCCTTCATATTACCAGTGAAGGAAGAGCAGACTCCTTTATATCGTGGCTGTGTTACTTGAGTTTTGACTCCATTTTGAGTTCTGATGTGTGTGCTGCAAACTGTATCAGGTCTGCACCTCCTCCCTGTCACCTAAGAGGCTTGCTTCTCTTTAGTGTTATGAAGTAACACTCATACGATTGATAGGATGATACGTTTTTTTATGTTAGTTGTCTGGTCTTTCATTGAAATGGTTTTTATTTAATGCACGGAGCATAGACACATACACTGTGACGATTATTTTAGAAGAGAGTAGTGGTGCTGACAGATAGCCGCCCCTCCGCGCGGTGTGTGTCACGGTATTGTGTAGCCTGCAAAGAAAAGCCGTGGTTAGGTGGGAAGAAGAGAGAGAAGCATGCTGTGGTAACTCGCAAGAAATCGACCGACCTCCGCACTCGTACCCCACGGGGCGGTTCGCAAGGTTGCACCGCTTGGGAATGGTGACGGCCACTTCCGGCTTCGCTCCGACGCTCTTGGCGGTGTCGGAGAGCATGACGGCGCAGAGGCAGGCGGGGTTCTGGCCCACCCTCTGCACCGCGCTGCAGCAGGCGGCGGAGACCTGCACCTGCGCGTCTTGTGCCGCCGACGCGCACGGCGCCAACTGCAAGGCCATCCTCTGCACGGGAACACGCCCGCATTCGCCAGCCCCCTCCACCCCCTTTCTCCCGCCGCCGTGGACCAAGAGGAACAGCGCCAGCACGCACAGATGCTTCATCCCGACCACCATCTCGTGCTCTGCTCCGATGATGAACCCAACTTGCGGTGCTGCCGCCCATTTATACTGCCGGAGAAGCTCCTGGAGAGCAACAGATGAGCGCCACCTCAGGACCTCATCCACCACGCTAAGTGCTAAGAGTGGATGCAGCACTCGATCACAAATGGTTTTATTATTGCAGCACTAGCTTGATTTGGTGTTGCTGTGGGCCCCAACTTCATTTCAATTCAATTCCGTGGTAGTTGGCAGTGATCACCACCGCTCCGAACCTTATCTTTGGGAGATCAAAAGAACAAGCTCAAGGAGGAGTCGCCGTGAGGAAATGGAGCAAAAGATTGCCGGGCTTTGACATATCAGTAGAGGGATGGATCACAACGGGAACCCCATTCGATCTTGGATCTTTTGATTCCAATTCCAGCTAACGTCCGGATCCGTCTTGGATGCACATCGCCACCTATGAAGTTTCTTAGGTACGAAGATTCAAACCAAATCGGTTGATCCAATCATCACCGACATCTTCCCCAGACATGATCTAAAAGAAAAGCTCATCTGATTAATTAAACTTTACGAGACTTGCGGCAAGCTTGCTCGGAATAATACATAAAACTGCAAAGCATGCTTCATTCGATAGAGTTCTGTGAGATAATATATGTAGTTTTCTTCGCCATGTATTGATTCCAGGATACATCATACATCTAAAACATTTGATATCCAACTAAGAATCGTAGCTTCCAAGAAGTCATATAAGCTACGGAAGGGAAAACAAATCTAGGTAGTATGCACACAACAAAGGACAACACATCCTACGGGGTCATGATTTAGCTTGGCTTTATGTTCATACCAAACTGATGATGCATCTGGAACTCCTTATAGACTTCATCACATGTTTCTTTTGCTTGATCATTTCATTCATCCAATGCAATGTGGTTCTTTCTGCCTCCCCCTTTTTTTTTTATGGTTTTACTGGTAGTGCTGATAGGCTCGGGACAGCAATAGAGGTAAATGCTTTGATTCTCTCTCTCTTGCAAACCTCTAGCATTCACCCTGGAACATTGAAATGGAAGAGCCAGGAGATGACAAAGGCAAGCACCAAACATGCGAGGAGGAATTTAAGAAAACGGTGCCCCTGCCAAAAACTCCGAGTTTCCGATGGTGGGGCAGCAGGTGGAGCTGTAGAAGAATTAGCCTCACTCCACTGCTCTGTGGGCTCAGACTCAACCAGATCAACCACGTTGCGTGCGGTTGAACCACAAATCTCACAGATCCTAGAACATGAAACACAAACAAAAAATACTTAGAAGTCAAAATTAAGAGATTTGAAACAGTTGCGAACAAGCTGCACAATAGCCGAGACGACATCACATGAGATTGTCCCCTAACATATTTTAAGGTGATGAGACATTCACCAATTTTATGTTTGCAGACATGCAAAAAATTGTGTTTGCAGACAAGCAAACACAGGACATACATGAGAAACAGTGAATAAAAGAAAACTGCATATCGTCATTCAACATATGACAATTACAACTTGTCCATTTCTTTCTCAAAGATTGGTTCTTAATTTTGTCATTTCTTCCTAGTCTTTTGTAAGTATATTGTCATATTATGCTTGCGCTAGTCCAAAAATTAAGCCGAGGTTAATCTTTTAAGATCTCAATTTCTTCCAAAATTTAATTTTGTCATTCACCATAGACTAAGCCTCATATGTCCTTTTGAGTTCAACATGTTATATTGTTTTAAATGCAAACTATTTATGTTGCAGATGCATGCTTTCCTCTATTTAACCTTGACAGAAACCGTAACTTTGCATGGCTTGGGTTTGCGCATCGCAGAAACCATGACAGTGTATAAGAATTTCTGCACTAGTGTCGGATAGGCAGATCTATAAGTGAGAAGAAATTTACTACAGCTTCTTATTTTCTTTTAGCAAATGTAAGTACCATCAATACCCAAATAAATGTAAGATGAAGATGAGAATCACAAATTAATGAAGCATTTCTGAGACATGCAATAGAACGTTCATAGATATGGCAACATCAGTGCCAACACAACCAATGCAAATGATATAGAATCCTTAAAAGAATAAAACGAGGTGATGGTGGTTCTGTAGCTACAACTACTAAATGTAGGTTGAGATATAATCTGAAGAAAAAGTTTGACAGACGATACCCAACAAACAAAGACATACAATGAAAAATTAATGAATATTCTAGCCTTGCCAATATAACATCCGAACTGCAAAATTTCAATACCTTTTTTTTGTTGCAAGAAAAATTTCGATAGCTTGAGTTCATTAAAATTCAAAATGGAATTATTCAACATTAAAGTCAGAACAGCAAGGTGGCTGAACAATCTACATGCTGCAATTTACATGATCATTACAAGAGATGGAACAACTATTCTAGGTCGGATGCCTCATCTGTGAAAACGTATATTCGATATATCACACTTTTATTAACTTAACTACAGAGTGGATCAGTGGAAAATAAAGATAACACAGGAACATTCTGGAGGGACCAAAAGGTAATCCTAGAAACATACTTCTATAGTATCCCCTCGACAATTTGATACCTCAGCAATGTCCCTACTTTGTAATGGGAATATATTACTCAATGCCATGTTTAGTTGTGTTTTATTCTACCTCTTTATTTGTTCTTTGCTTTCGCAAATAAAGAAGAATATGGTTCCAAATATTGATGAAAATTTCTGTGTACATCGAATGCAGCGTTGTAATGGATGTGTCACGAATGTGGCACCGTTTCCGAAAGCACTTCAGGATTTAAAAGTAACAAAAATTGCGGAAAGGATATGCCAAGGAGAACTGCAATCTTACTTGTTTCCTTTGATCTTAAACCATGTTTCAGCACACTGCTTGTGGGCAGCAGCTAAATCATCCTTGCAGGAACAGCCTAATACGATCGGGACTCCTGACTCTGGAGCTGCCTTCTCCAAGCTGAGATGACAGATCCTGCAATCTTGCTCAGCTCTATCTACGTTAACTTTTACCTCTGAAGCACCATTCTCCAGATCATCTCCGAGTGAAGACTCTGAGACGCCGGATTTTCCACAAGGCTCTTGAAATCCATCGATCTCCTGAGCTGAGACCCGACGGCCATTGCCACTAGAGCCATATGGCGAATGACAAGAATGTGCTTCTGCATCTGAGAAGCAAAGGCTGTCATCATCACTCTCATTCAGGTGAGAGTGGTGTGTCCCTTCTTCTATATCCCCAGAGGATTTTCGATCCTTTTTACCCATTTGACAAGGATTTTAGAAGCAGAAATTTGTAATAGGGCATGGACTGTCCTAAAAGTTAGTATCTTTGGAAAGGCTAAAACAAAGATAAACCAAGAACTTGTATACATATGGATCTACTCCATTGATGGAGTAAGAAGCACAACGATAACAAGAACAAGAACAAGAACAGGTCCTTAGTCAAGTATCAGGGAACAGACATCCCACCACAGAACCGACTCTTTTTGACCTAATCTTTGAAGTCAGCAATGAAACTGATCCAAAAGCATAGTATACAATGGGCAACTCCTGGAAGACAGAGACATAAAAGCAGAGATCAATCAAGAGAAGGTTCCATGACAGGCCTGATCCAAATTAACTAACAGCAGAAACTGCGCCTAAAATGCCATCATATGAGACAAGCTCGGACGATCCTGAACCCTAAGTTTCATGCAATGCGCCTTGCATTCTGAGAACGAGAAGATGCTTATCAAAGTGGGAACAGAATAAAAAGGAAAAGATTCAATTCACAGTGACCACACTAGGGAATTCCTGCTTCTGCCTCCCTAGATGGAGGAAGAAAGGCTGAATGCATACAAGATTCTAACAGCAGCAGCAGAGAAGGTTGTGAACTCGCTCCGCTTGCAGGAACCACCGACGACAGACACGAGGGGAGGAAAGCCAGAGATGGGTTGCACAGCAAAAGAAGAGACCGATGATATGTGCAGGCTTTGGATTCTTGCTGACAGTTGGTAGGGCCTAAAAACGACACAAAGAAAACATATGTGCATACTGAGAGAGGTGTTAGGTGGATAGAGATGTAGAGAGAAAGAGACCGAGGAGAGGAAGGGGATGAAAGTGAAGTGACGAGTGGGGCAAAACTGCAAGACGAGGGTTTGCTTACCCCTAATTCTTGTAATTAGTGCGGGACTCCAAGAAGAACCCGCAGCCATATGCAGCAGCGCCATCTCTCGTCCCTCCTGTTCATGGTTTTGCGGGCAATGGCCACCGGCAGATCGATCTTTGCCTGTCATCCCCACGATTCAAACCGATGGACCGCGTGGATGCGTCGACGGAGTTCGTGCCCCACTCTTGTTTGTGCAAATGCCGAGCTCGGTGCTGTTCCACACACACTCTCACGTCCCCTTGTCACGGAGTGCTCTAGCGGATTCCGGGGCAACCGAGCAGAGGAGAGGACCACCTAGCTTCATGGTTTCTGCCATCACGAGCGTGAAGTCGAATCGATGGATCGAAGAAGCACGCTCCATTCATTCCCACAAGCACGCGACCGACCTCCGTAAAGTCTCACGTACTCCGAGGTAGTAATTGACGCCTCACCAGTGTTCTGCTGCACGAGTGTGACTCCATTTGCTTTTATTTTCCTCAAACTTCGTGTGTGATTGATTTAACGCGAATCTTGAAGAAAATTAGGCATGCAAGGAACTGAGATGTTTCTTTGATATGAAACAGAGGGATGGATATGGATCCGACCCGCTAAACGATCCATTTAGTAACAATCACATCATAATTGATCCGTTGTCCGGTCCATTGCCATGCCTTAACGGATCATAATTTGGACCGGCGATCCAAATACCGACTATTTTGTCGGCCCACGCATCGACCCATTCAGCCGGATTTTATTTTCTTTTGGCGTCCGCATCTCCAGAAGCTTCGCCACCCGCCTTTATCTATACGCGGCGCCCTTTGCGAACGACTCCTCGTTACCACACGCAACGGAGACGGGGGTTCCGGTTGGACGGCGCAACAGAGAACCTCCCCCAAGGATCGATCGAGGCAGGCATTTGATTTCTTCTTGTTTCGAAATTTCTTTGTTCAAACCCCTTCTCTTTCTTGAGTAGATCGAGTTTGAACCTGTGTTGGGGTTCCTCTTCATGTTTTTTAATCGTATCAATATGCGGCATGGCCTTATTGCTTCCCTCGACCGGGATGGGAGTCGATAACTCGTTTAATTGTTCTTGATCTTGTGATTTTTCGATGCATACTTTAGGGTTGATGTAATCATTATTACTAATATTTTATTTCTTACTCTTGTATCGCACCTTTAGCATGTTGTGATCACTCTTTGGTGTACTATTTACTTGTCTTCCTATAGAGGATGAGAAATTGAACAAGCCGAGCTTATTTGGTTTCTCCTCTCAGTCTTGTAATAGAGAATATCTAGTAGTCGGTATGATCGTAGATGCTTCCAAGATGCCCTTCGAGAAAAGATCAGATAGGTGTCACATCATCTATTTATTTTTCTAGCTTCCGTTGGGGTCATATCTTTGTAATTTTAGAAATCTTGATCACGATTTGATCTTAAAGGTTCAATTAAGGAGAAAATATACGTAAAAGAAATGATATGTAGTTATAGCAATTACATGGCTTCGACATCCAAATCTTATGTTTGATGTATAACTAGGCCTGGAAAAGAGAGAGGTTTCAAGTAAGAAGAAAATATTTTAAAAATAATAATACGTAGCATAGAAATGCATGGCTTGGTCATCCAACACTTATATTTGGTGTATAATTATACGTAGTATAATTGCAGATTGGATGAGGATTGTGAATTGGTAAAATAGCAAATAAAATGGTAGAAGTCTTAGCCAATTAGTTATACTGATGTGTTTGAATACACGTGTAAGCAACATCAGAGTTTTAGTTTTCTTTTTTTAATTTCAAGTAGCTAAACCCAGAGCTTTATATGGAGACATGATACATGAAATGGTCTTGTTTCGGTAAAATTGGTAAACATTATGGAAATCACTACTTGATAATTAACTTGATCTTGTTTCATTATGAGGATTTTGCTTCGTCACCTTTTTGTACTGCCTAGTTGTGAACTGACTATTTAATTTTATTTCTTTCAGATGTCACACTCAAGAAGAACAAGGTCAGATGTTCTTCTCCTATCTTTTTGGATAAACTTTAGAGGTGTCACAGAACTCTTATCCATAATGTATAATTCTTTTCATTTTCTTACCACATTTTCTTAAACTCAGGTGTTCGTCTTACTCTCGATCTGTGTCACGGTCACGTTCACCATATCGGTACAGTGGAACTGTCTCAAGGTCTTTGTCGAGGTCGAGAAGCCGCTCAAGGTATTTTGTCGTATCCCTTTCTTTCTCAAGGGTGGCAATATTCATGAGGAATTTATTTTTAGTAGGCTTATGAACCATATTTCTTACAGGAGCATGGACTCAAATGCTGCTAAAAATCCTGGAAACAATTTGTATGTCACTGGTATATCTTCGAGGGTAACAAAGGATGAACTTGAGAAGCACTTTGCAAGTGAAGGAAAGGTATAACAAATGAATTGCTGCTTGTTTGATATTAGTACAATTGGTTAAATGTAAGAAATGTTTGCAGTAACTTCACTTATTTTATGGCGGTGGCAATTACTGGTTATACAAATCTAAAGCCTTTTTTTTTTCCTGATATTCTCAAGTGTAATTAGTTGGCTTTGGTACAAAAAAGGTATGCTTTATATTTTGTTATGGTCCTTTGATGCCTCCTGATTGGCTTTGTTTAGTTTGGTATTTTCACATCTTGTTGTGGGTTGGGAATTGGTTCTTTTTTTTTTTTTTGTCTTGTTTCATCTTCCAAAAGTGTTCTCCGGTTGTGTTCTTAAGTTATTATCATTTTCTAATATGTAGATATGTAAGCCAATTTAGTATTCCTTCATATTGTTAGGTGCAACATGCTGGCCGTATAAAAGTGTTTTTATTTTGATAGTGGTCCTTTGATGTTTCTTGGTTGGCATGAGTAGTTTGCTAAAGTCACAATTCATTTCAGGTTAGGTGTGGGTTGAGGAAGAATGGGATTCTTTATTGTTGCTAACTTTTCTTGCTCACTTGAATTTATGGTATTTTCTGTAGGTTGTTGATGTCCACCTAGTGGTTGACCCTTGGACAAGGGAGTCTCGAGGGTTTGGATTCGTGACAATGTCTACCATTGAGGAAGCAGATAGCTGCATTCAGTATCTCAACCGTTCGGTTTTGGAAGGTCGGGTTATCACTGTTGAAAAGGTAAAGTATTATCATTTGATCTTCTACTCCTTTGCAAGATGTGCTATGTGCTAAATGATCAATAATTGTGCTTTGGCACCTTCTTTTTATCTAAATTAATCAATATTTTAGCTATTACTTCTAAGCGCTTGGGAGATGTCCTTCGCTTCAATTCTTTTGACTAACAGGTTAGCTGTGTGTAGCAGCCCTTCATCAAACTTCAAAAAGCTTTGTATGATCTTTTTGCTAGTTTGCTGCACTAGTACCATTGTTTCCTTGGTGACTTGTGTTATGAACATGTGATGTAATATGTGTTTGTTTTAGCAGGCAAGGAGACGACGAGGACGGACACCAACCCCTGGTAGATACCTTGGTGTAAAAACTAGTGGTAAGCCTAAATATTTACTCCATAATAATTTATCTACTCCATATTATTCTAGGCCATATTTTTCACTCATTCTAATTCATTATGATTCTTGCCAGCACACCATCATTCTGGAAGCTATTCACCTTATGCTAGGCGTCGGTACAGCTCGCCTGGTTACACCTCTGATGGGGACCGATCCTATTCTCCCTACTACAGGCGGCGAGCATATTCTCCTTACTTCAGGAGGCGGAGGTCTCGATCTGTATCTCCCTGCAGTCGTCGACAGCGATCGTACTCTAGAGATTTGAGGTCTTCCTCTTCGGGGTGTTCTGCTTCACCCTATTATCACAGGCGGTGTGAACATTCATGGTCACGTAGCATTTCTCCAAGGTCACGGTACAGACGACACTACTCACCCAGCATCTCACCTAGGAGAAGTTCTAGGAGGGGCTTTTCTCACAGTTACTCTCCAAGGGATCGACGATCACGAAGAAGCTATTCTCGGAGCTACTCTCCAAGGGATCAAAGGTTGCGGAGAAGCTATTCTCGGAGCTACTCTCCAAGGTATCGAAGATCACAGAGCTATAGTCCTAAGGTGCGACCAAGCAAGAGGTGCCCATCATCTAGCAATTCACCTGGGCCAAGAAAGAGGTACTCGCGAGAAAGCTATGCCCACAGCCGTAGCGTGAGCTCTTCCTCGAGTTCTCGCTCAAGGTCTCCAGCAGGGTCTGCAAGGTCCTCATAACATATAGACGTGATGTTGTTTAAATCTTGGATATCACTGGTTCTTCCGGTGGCCTTTGCCTGGAAACCCTGTTGCATGTGTTGCTGAACAAACTTATGGGTTCTTCTATCAGACAATAATCGTATTTGTGTAGAAGCATGTGCTTGTAGACCTTTCACATCTCATAATATGGATATCGTCATCACTAATTTACTTTGGATGGCACCTTAATAATCCATGCGTCTACTCTCAGAATTCTCTGTGCTTGGCTAGAAATAATTTATTTTTCTACGAAATAGCAACGTATTTCACAATCGAAAACAATGAGGAAAGGTGTCAAAATGCAACGTGACTGGTTGTCGTGATTTATTATTGTTGATGTGCGTGTTAATGTCGTATATTGGAAATCAGACGGGAAGGAGGAGATGAAAGTTTGGTTAGGTAGCGATCGATGGTATTCTGTGACTTGCGGAGCTTCGCCAGTTGTTCCGGGTTCTGTGTCAGCAACCTCAAACGATGTGCTCCTCCGGTTGGTCCTCCTCCTCAGTTGTATCAGAACACATCCGGTTGTCTTGATCCCAACGGATGCGATCTTCCCCGAACGAAACCCGGGCACGTAAGTCTTCCATCCGAACCAGTTTCAGGTCCGTCTGTTCGATTGAAGCGTGGTCAAGGAAAGCTTCGGTTGACAGCTATCTAGTTTCTTTTCTCAGTGAGGTTGGTACATCAGGGAAAGAAGGGGGTCAGAATATGTATGGTTAGCTCGAGGAGACGTATGGCGAGGAGGAGCCAAATGAGGTTGATGGTGCCATCTAATCAACCTTTTTCTCTTCTCTCTCTCTTGTCGTCTTCACCCTCTCGCTTTTTGGCTGTCCTCTCTCTCTCGCTCAAACCATTTTTCCCTTTTGACACCATAATAATTTTATAATATTATTTATGATTTATTTTTTAGTAAAAAGATATGTTTTAGCAGACTGGTCTTATTGATGATCTAATGATTCGAGACTTGATCGATAGTTATCCAGATCTGGATCATCCTCTTTATGGCTTCTTCACCTTCAAGTTTCATCTTTGCTCCGTCTGAGAGTAGGATGATGACAATACACAATCGCCCTGTACACAGTTCACTACCCCTTCCCAGAGTCCAACCACCCCAATACAACGGTAGTGTCCTCCACATCAATATCACGAGCGGAGGAAGACTCGAACCCCTCTACTCCCGATTGAACAGAGGCT